CTCAATTTCGGTGCCCGACCCTCGGAGAACCAAACCAACGCCGCCTTGCCATGGTGGCTCGTGTCGTGTTTAGTTAACTGGCAAGAGCATACAAAGCGCAAAGGGGGCTAAGCAATCTACTATTGTCAAGTGCTCGAATCTCGAATCTCGCCTCTCGTCGTCGTCGTCGTCGTCGTCGTCGAGTCTGTTGAACCCTGATCGAAAACAAAAAGGCTAGAGCATGTCAACAGAATCTCCTTATTTTACACTCCTGTACATACTCAAGTTAAACTGCATCGAATCTAGCTAACCGAGCGACGCCTCATTCTATCGCCGTGTACAGTACCGCTTGCTTCTACCGCACACACACACACACACACACACACATTTTCTGTCTCTCTCTCTTTCTCTCTCCCCGCACCTCTCGCTTTCCGTGCGCTGAAACAGCATAGCTCTCCAACTATGCTACTAGAGTACATGCTCTTCCGACGGAGTGAGCTGCTTCCGAGGACACTTGAAGTCTTAATTAATGTAAGAAAAACCCTACTACTGCAAATTGAGTCCGATGCAACCAACAGCTTCACGGCTAAGGCTTCAAGTATGATGGTTTGTAGCTCGCTTTCGGGAGCAACTTCTCTGCGCTTACAGCGGCTGCGTGCGCCATCTTTGGTTTCGCCCGGCTTTGCATGGGTCGCTCACTCGCTCGCTCGAGGCAGGCTCAAGCTCTGCTTATCCGATGTTTGCCAACAAAAGTGGGCTAAGCGCTTATCCAGTGGAGCCCCTGAGCCCCCGGTTCGGTTAGATGAATGTTGCGGCGTATGACACTTTTCAACTAGCCCAAGTGCATCCAACACTGGTATTATATGCTCAAACTTTCATAACAGTACAACCTCTGCCATGCTGATGTTGCCGGTCAACGGATGCCACTTTGCTGTCTCGCTGCACTGCCCAGTTGGACGCTCATAGCACCGTGCCTACCGTTCACTCGGATCAACCCTCCGGATTTCAGATGCTAATAAGCTAGGCTATGCCTAACGAGACCGTTCCATCTCTGACACAACCACCAAGATTGCGCTTTCCGCTCAAAACACATGTCTCCCAGTCACTTCGCCGAATGGGAATAATTTCACATCCATCGCACTCTGAGACAGGGGCAGCTAGCGCTGACTCTGTGTCGATGGTTAAAGGTTCACACACGCCAGACACCTGCCAGTCATCCCGTTTCTTTTTTTGAAAAAAAAAAAAAAAATCTGAAACAATTTTCTACCTGAGACACTCTAAACACCAGATAGAGTTGCCATCAGATTCTTCAGCCCTGGCCGCCAGCTCGTGGCCCTTCCTACCCTTTGTCTTCCTCGCAATTTCTGCATGCATCTCCCCTTTCACAGCTGCCAAGATGTTCGTCTCCCTCAAGATTCAGACAAGCCAAGCCCTATCAAATAGAGCTCCTCTGCACCCATACTGTAGCAGACTTGACATCGCTCAATCCAGATGCCGCAATCATCCATCTTGACAGCGCTGGATTGTTGCCACGCGTTCCGGGGTGTCCATTTCAAAAATACTGTCATTGCGAATACAATGAGTCAAGCAGCCACATCAATAATGGCGCCGAGGCGGCGCGCTGGGAATATAGTGCTGGCCGTTGATGTTGTCAGCAGCACCAGGCATGGTCACATAGGCGTGCGAGTTGGCAGCAAAAGGCGTCGCGTATGCATCGTACTGCGGCTGCTGTAGCATCACTGGCGTTGGATAGTAATTGACGTTGGGCGTGTCGTACATTCTTCCAGAAGGTCGTGCCAACTGCTGTTGCTGTGGCGCCGACGCGGCAACAAGTGCGTAGTTGGGCGTATACGGCGTCATCGGTAGTGCGCGTCGCTGGGGCGATTGCAACTGACACGCTTCGAACGAATGATCCCCCTCGCCGCTGAATTTATCATTGTGATGGTAGAGATCGCCACCTCGCTTCACTGGACTCGAAATCGGGGTATTGTAGTAGCTGTTGATGCCGCCGTATCGGGTATCTACGTTTTCGTCTTCCTGGGCTGCTTGTTCGTATGCGTGCGTAGCATAGCCAGATCCAGTGGAAGGATAAGAGCCCCCCATCCTCGTCATAGACGGCCTGCTCATCGAATGCCTCGCCGCTTCATCCATCGCTTCCTCTTCCACGGTTGCATCGAGCTGCTGATATCTCTGCCCCTTGCTCGAATTTCTAAGCAGTCTGTCTGCCACGCTCCGACTCGAGCTCCGCGAAACTTTTGAACCACCCGTCGTCTGGCGCTGCAAATGCGATAAACCAGCATCAGACATGATTCCTCCACCCATCATTAGGTTCATGTTTGGCTCGTTACGGTAAATTCTGCTCGACGACTCGTTTTCGACATCTTGGTACGGCGTCGGGGCCATGTTACTTGCAGGTCGCGTGTAACCGCCTCCAGAAGGCCCTGTGAAGCGTGGGTCGTTGACACCTGTCACTCCGATCGCGTTGATGATGGGCGCTTTCAGGTGGCGTCGTCGCACAAAAGCGATGATCGCCCAGGCTGTGCCAAGACCGACAATGGCTCCAGAGATAGGAAGTGCGTACTTGAGAGCATCTGATGTCGATGCCGAGGAGCTATCAGCCGCGTCGTCCTTGCTATTGCCTTGCGAGTCCTTGTTAGAGCCCTTGCCGTTCTTACCACTTTTTCCATCACTGCCAGACTGGGTGCTCGTCACTCCATAGCCTGGATAGCCGGCAACACCGTCTGCACCAGGGTCGGAAAGGATCCTGAGAGGGGCGCTGCTCGTACTGAACAGCGGCTCGCCCGTCTGTGACGAATTGGCACCCGTATAAACAAACGAAGTCACATCAGCGTTGCCGCCGTTGCTATTGCCATTCGCGCTTGTAGCGCTTCCCGACACGCTTGTCAAGTTGAGCCCGCCAAGATTGGCGCATTGCACGTTGAATTGTTTAATCTCTTGCGAGTAGTATCCCTGCTTCTTGTACTCAGGTGTATTCCAGTCGATTGCACCACCAGCCCACTCGACAGTCCCCGCCGGGTTGGTTTCATTCCCACCTGCCCAGGTGCTGAACTGGATTCTTGATGGCGACCTAGGATACTCCGATCCGGCCTCTTCCCTCGTCAAGGTCCGGACCACATTTCCATCGATCGTCCACTGCAGCCGTGTACTCGTCCAGTTCAATCCGTACGTGTGCCAGTCGCTGACGTTGAAGTTGGGCGGGCTTACATTGACACCGTGATCGCGCACAGGTTGACCCATCCAAAAGTAGTTTGTCATCCCCAAAGACGAGTTGGAAGTGGTAAATTCCCAGTCGATCTCATCCTTGATGTTGCTCATCGTGATGAAAGCTGCCACAAGTCCCTGTCGCGCATCGTGTCGCAGCGTCGCTTCCACATAGCCATACATGAGGTAGTCCGTGGTCGAAATCTTGGCCTGTTGGGCAGCTTTAAGCTGCAGAAGCACGCCTTCAGGTCCAGGGCCGAGAGAGCCAGAGTCGAGCGTAAAGGGAGACGACGCATTGCCATTGTACTCAAGAATGGGCATGAAGATGTTGTTGTTGTTGTAGTCGGTGGGCTTGATGGTCATCTGGCGCGAGCGACAGACTGGATTCGGGAGACAGGAGGTCGGCTTGAAGCTCGACATGGGATCACAGCCGCCCGCGCACTGCATCGAGCCCGAGCCGCACACACCTTCGGCAGAACAGCATGGACTGGACTCGGGGCATGGGGAGGTGATACTGCAGGTGATTCTCGAGGTTTGTGCCGATACGAGGAGGCTAGATCGAGAATTGCTGCCCGAGCCGGAAGGAAGGGTCGAAAGCAGAGCGAGAGCTCCAAGGAACAGCAAAGTCAGCCGCGCGGCTGACCTGCGTCTTGCCCTTGACATGTTGCTGCTAGGAAGGTCTGAGGGACGTGAAGCTTATGAGACTGGACGTGCCCGTGTGTTTTACGCTGTATTGATTGAAGACAACGTGTTGAGCCTGCGTGTCGTTGTTGCTCGATCTGTCAATTTCTTTCAGCAAGCCAAAGTCTCAAGGAAGACCACGTTTGAGGAAAGAGTTTGATGTGTAATCGGGGTTAAGCGTGGTTTAGGTAATGATCTAAGGATCGTCGTAGTATGATGAAGGATGATGGTAAAGAAGTGAAGAGGAGGGTAGGTAGCGACTGATGACGAGAGAGTGTAAGCAAGGCAAGAAAGGAAAGCGGGCCCTATGTTCCATGCAGCCTACCTTTGATGCCCTTGACGAAGGGCAGACCCTGCCTAACCCATAAACATCTCAGCAAAGCCATACTTTTCCGGACAGACGTTGTCGCACCTTCAGACACCGACCGCTGTCACACAGCCTTCCTCTGCTCTGCCGACCATCGTGCCGAAGACCAAGGTCACAGCGGCACCTTTCATTCAGCAAAGTCCTCAGGGGAAAAGCTGCCAAGAAAGGGGGGCCAACAGAGAGTGGAGGGACAGGTTGACAGTCAGTCGGGACATGCACAAACTCTACACGTTCTACATATCCCAGAGGCAAATCAGGCTCAGGGGTTGGCAGAAGGACTACCACATTTCAGTATCTCTTTTGATTTGCCGCTGCCGTTGTAACTGCGGAAGCAACCCTTCGTCTCGACCACCTGGCTGTCAAAGTCCGCCGAAATCAAACCCCTTTTCCGTTTGTTTTAAGACTGTGACACTGCCGCGCCTGCAGCTGCTTTTTCGTCACTCGGCTGCCGAGCTTGCCGCCTCCCCTCCCCTCTCCCCATAGCCTATTCATCATTGTCCTACTGGGACCGATGTCATACTCCAGTATGAGGTGGATAGAGATCAACCATGAATATTCCCAGAAGAAGCTGCAACAAAACGCACAGTGATGTCGCGACAGCAGCGACGACTAGCTTCGCTTGTGAGAAATGTGTCGATTGATATTCTACCAGGTGGTCTCGCTCCAGGGTCCATTTTGACATTCCCCACAGGAAATGCTCTAGTTCGACGGCGAGAAAAAAGGACAAAGAAATCTTGAAAAACAAAAAGGTGGGGCCAACCCGGAATCGAACCGGGGACCTCTGTCAACTTAGAACCACCTCTAGGAATCGAGGTGAACGCCCTAAGACAGCATAATAAGCCACTATACGATTGGCCCGATCTTGCTAGTACAAAAAATTGTTGCATATATATATATTTCAGCTCAAAAACTTCTTGCATTCATATATACTCGTGTAAAAAAACAAATTGTTGTATTGATATTTATTCTAGGACAAAAAAATGTTGTACTCACATAATAACCATGTGAGAAAGCATAACAAAGCTCAGAAGGAGTTATCCGATACTCCGGTGCTGGTCCGATCCCAGTATTTTCATGAACTGAAGCCATGAGGCAACTAAACAATGTCGGCCCAACAACGTTGCCGTAAGAAACAAAAAAATTGGGGCCAACCCGGAATCGAACCGGGGACCTCTGTCAACTTAGAACGACCTCTTTAAATCGAGTTGAATGCCCTAAGACAGCATAATAAGCCACTATACGATTGGCCCGTGCTCTCTAATGTGGAAAATTGTTGTATTCATGTATGACCACGTAAGGAAGCAGCAATCTCAGAAACATTATTTGATACGCCGGTGCTGGTCCGACCTTAGAATCGTTATGAACTCAAGCCATGGGGCAATCGAACGACGTCGGCCCGACAACGATGTCGTCTTGCCGATAGAAGGGATGACACTGTAGCATGAATCGTACTTTGCGAAGGCATACAGTAGCGATCGATGGAAGCAAGAAACGAACGAACCCAATAGACTAGTGCAGGCGCGAAGAACCTGCATGCATAAGTTGACCGAAGTTGAGATAGCCGAGCGATAACAGGACGGGGACGATGAATTCAGCAGGGCTGCTAGATAGCCTGCATCACAAGACGATTGCTTCATAAGATGGGTGCTGATGAGGACGGCCACTGTTTCGAAGGGAGCTGCCATCTCAAATGGAAGCTCGACAAACAAGGTCAAGCTGCATATCCGACCACTGGCAAGCTTGATTGGTTCTCTTGACGACGACGAGGTTTGTTGGGAGATTTCCGATGCAACCCAGCCGCCCGCAAGACGTTCGCTAAGCGAGGGGGATTAGCTGGCGAAGTTCAGCAAACCAATTCACGTCGTCGTACAACAGCTTGGAGCATAGAAGCGAGGCTCGAAGTGGAAGCTTTGACCTGCCAGGAGCTCAATGACTACGAAGCAAGCAGGATGGAAGCAAATTTTTAGCGTGGACTCGCCGAATTGGCCGGTTGCGTTGGCGAGTGCTTGGCCGCGAAAGGCGCACGAGCGAAAATAGTATTACCTCGGGCGAAGGCAACGGCGGGACGGCGTAGAAACGCTTAAGCCGCCATGCTTTTCGACCTCCTTTGGAGCAATGCAATGCGCCAGAGACAACGAAAATGTAGGCTGGGGGTAAGGCGACGACGGCTGGGTTAAAGGATGGCAGCCGTCGAAGCGCAGACCGAATGGGCGAAAGAATGAAACCAATTGAAAGACCCATTGTGTTGGGCCAACGGGGATGTTTGATCTACATTTCATGCCACCATTGACTGTCACTGCGGCAACAAACGTTGCGATTGACCAAAATTGCTCAACAGAAGACTTCTCAGCTGATAATTGACAGGACCCTCTATCCCGTCGGAGGTCGAAACTTGCGCTGCTTTGTCACGATGTCACGATGGCCAGTTTGCCATGCTGGGAGTTTTCCTCTCCATTGTGCCAGCTGAACAAGAAAAGTTGCTCTTGACTGGCAAATACTTCTGCATCCCTTCAATTTCTTCTTTGATCTGAGACACCACGCACGTGTGGACAGAGAGGGTGAGGGGAAAGTAGGGAAGCATGAGAGGGCAAGGAGAGGGAGAAGCAGATGAGAGAATTGGGGTTGGCACTCCTGGATCGTCAAAGAAAATTTGAAGCCCGCGACAAACTACTTTGTTGTCTCGCTTAGGCGATAGTCGCATGGTTGGGCTTGACGGGCATCGAGTTGGGACTAGCGGCTTTTTTCTGCGGGATCATGTCCGAAGACATTCAAAGGAGGCTGCGCTGCCGACCATATCGAGCTTGGCACAACCCTCAAATCTTGCTGTTCATATGGCATTGAGCTTGAGGATGAAGGCTCCAGTGTTCCGGTGCAGTGGCAGCCAGGAAAGGTGGTCGGTCCGATTTGACGCCGGGCTTTGCCTCGCCTAGCACGCAAGCTGCATTTTCTTATCCTTTCGTAGCCAAAGGTGTGGCCTCGCAATTTTGCACATTTTATAACATTGTCACCTATTGCATCCAACGATGATATAGTCCAAACACGCTGTTCAATATCTCGCACGATCGGTGACGTTGACAATGATAGGACACCAAAAAGGACAGGCAGAGGAAGGGTGTGGCTCTGCATCTTCCTCGAGAGCCAAAGACGTCTTGCAAGATTATGCTTCCTTGACTTATTCCCTATTCCTCTCAACGCACACAGCCCCGCCACGGTGGCGTGCGTTCCGGCGCATCCGCCACATCGGCTGTGACGCTCGTTTTGCCCATAATCGGACTTGTTGAATTTTGCTCGCTGGATGTGACTGGTGGCATCCGAAGACGGCCAGCGATCGAGAGCACGCACCTTGTCAAGTGTCGGAGTGCAGCATGAAGCCCGGAGTCCTTAATTGTACGACTTGGAATGAAAGCAAATTTGTTCTGGATCTCGCACAAATCGCCACCAGTGACAGCGTTTCGGCACAACAAAAGCAAGATGAGGATAGTTAGTGCCAGTGTTTGTGGCAAATGACCGGTCCCTCCGGATGTCGCACAATCGTAGAAGGCCACGCTGTCTTGTCTATGTGCGCGCGCTGACTCTCTGCCAGCACCAACATGTTTTTAGTGCAATGTGACCCAAAAGGGGGAACTAAACTAGCCGCCTCACTTTCATTAGCGGCTGCCGCTTTGGTCCGTCCGACGCTTGTGCACCCACACTCATTCACCGAGGTGAGACCGAGGAAAGATAGCAACATTTGACTCGATGGCCGCTCTCTCCTGACGACGATACTGGTGACACAAAGCAAGTAAGTTAGCTTCGAATGAAATCCAGTCACCGAAGTCCGATCCTGCAACAGCTTGATCTGATTACGAGAGACGTCACATGGAGCCGTGTGAAAGAAAGCACACGCAACCTTCGACATGGCCTGATTGCATTGAGCTCGAGCGATGCGCTGTGTGAAAAAGAGACGGCATCTGGCTGGCTGAAGAATCGCCACAACGCCAGTGCAGCTTTACTTTACAGCATGTACGACCGACAGCTCGACTCTGCAGGACATGGTGTGGAGAAAAGCCAAGGAACGCGAGCCTTTCTCACATTACAGCACAGCGCAGCACAGTCTTTGTGGGGCCGACGCTGTGGTGCACATGCCGAAAGATGCGGGCCATCTACCAACCTATCAGTCGAGCTCGTTGTTGTCATGACAGAGAGCGCAACACGTGCAAGTTCAAAGAGTGTACGAAGCGAATCAAAACCCAGAACCCATGCCGAAGATTTGATCAGATCGGACGAGCAGCAGCCGCGCAACCTTTCTCACAATGTCAAGCACCAGTGAAGAAAAGGAAAAGGAAAAGCAAGAGGCGCTTATCTGACCGGATCTCGTGGCAACATTGCAGTCAAAGAACATGAACACAACAGTTTGTGGCTGCTCTCTCGATCCTCTCAGTCTCTCGGGAGGGAGGGGAGGAGACCTTGTTCTGAATCACATCTCGTTTGATCGAAGCGAGATGCAGCAAGCTGCAGTTCATGGCAGCTGGGCTTCAAAAAAGGAAGGAGAAAAAAAAAAATAGGGGAGCAAAGAAGGAAAAGAAAGAAGAAAATCGGCTCATGCTCTTTCGACTTCGGAGCTTGAGCCTCTCTCTCTCTCTCTCTCTGTCTGTCTGTATCCTTTTTGTCTGCATCCACGGCCCATCTTCTGATCGACTGTCCAGGGCGCTGCGCTGCCTTCTCCTATCTATGGAAACGACTGTGATGCAGAAGAGCATGAACTGCAAACACCACAACAAGCATCGCTGACGATGCTCTTTGCTCTCCAATCGGTTGTCATGCCAACTTCAGTGTAGAGGAGAACAAACATGCTGGGATGCAGCGGTCCTTATGCTTTCGTTGCATTGTCTTATGGTTCCAGCCACTGCCCACCAAACAACCGGACAAATGACGGAGAGACTCGAATCTGAGTGCAACGACGCACACGCTGCTTGAATCGGTACAGCGACTTTTGTTGAAGCAGACAGAGAAGCAGACACACGAGATCTGTGCAACCCCCGAGATCCACACACACTAGAGGAGGTAACCGTTTGAAGAAATAAAATAATAAATTGTAAAAGAAAAAGGCCAAGAATCCGAATCCAAGAAATAGAGCTGATTCTCACAAACATGCCTCTGGCGCCTCTGTCGGTGTCAATCGTGCTCGATGGCGTGGTCGAAGACCCTTTTTCCTCTCCTTTTTTTCTTTTTTTTTCTTTTCTTTTTTTTTGTGTTTAAGTTGACTAAAAGGGGGACTTCGCGTGTCACTTGGACGCGGTGTGTCTGTGTCTCTGTTCCAGTCTCTCTGCACAACTGCGCACAGAACGCTCACGCAACGACACTCCCACGCACACTTGGATTCTGTGTATCGCTTTCAGAATCGCATAAGACACACACACACAGAGAAAGAAGAGAGAGAGAGAGAGGAAGAAAGAAGAAAGAGGGCTCTCTTGGGAGAAATCATCATTGCAAGCGATCCATACCCAAAGAGCACACACACCTTCCTCTTTCGGGATTGTTCACCTTTTCCTTTTGGTGGCTGTCACAAGGTCACTTCTCACTCCCTTCTTCTCCTCTGCCGTCACTTGTTGCTGGTCGACTTTCCCCCCATCAACCCACCAACCAACCAACGCACCGACCGTATAACCGACCACCATCAATCCCTGCCAACATAACCCTCCTATTCACGCCGCCGCCTTCCCCTCGTCTCATCTCGGGTCTATTGCAACATCGTCAAGCTACATCGGACAAGTGGCTGCTGTCGCAGACGAGCGCAACCTAAATCCCACGCCCCACACTCTGTGCCGCACTCATCCTCAAGTTTCACAACGCCTCATTGTACACAGCCGCTTGTGGCT